AACCAGGGATAAAATAATGGGGGGAAACGAGAAGAAAATCAGGATTTAAAAAATGGAGAAAAAAACAGGGAAAAACCAGGGAAAAACCGGGATAATGGGGTGGGAAAGGCCCTCACCTGAGAGATTCCGAGTCTCCTCCAAGACCTGGTTCTGCTCCCGCCGGAGCTGCTCCAGCTGCTCCCGCAGCGGTTCCAGCGAATCCCGGGATTCTGCGCCGGGAATTACAGGGAATTATTGGGAATTCCGGGGGAAAAGCCCTAAAAATCCCGATTTTTGGCGCCTTTTCCTGTCCCTTTTCGGGGTTTTCCCCCCGAGAGTCATCGAATTTAAGGGATCGGCGAAATTTATTTGATTTAAATTTCTTACATGAATTTTAAAGATATAAATATATATTATATTATATAGTATAATATATTCTAATATTATATATTATATAATCATATTATATGTCTTTTATATTATATATTCATATTTTATGTAGTATACAATTATATAAAATATATTTATATAAAATATATCAATATTTTAAAATCTTACAACAATACAGTAAAATGACATGAATGAATATATAAGATATATAATATATAAATATATATTTATAACATATATATTAAATATATAAATACATATTTATATGTTTTTATATACTACATATTTATTACACAAAAGATATTTATAATTACATATAAGATATTTAAAATATACATTAAATATATTGTACATCTTATATATTATATAGATAATATGTACTATAAATAATATATTTCTAATATATATTTTATATACTATAGATTATATATATTTACATATAATATACAAATATATATAGACATAATAAGTAATAAATATAATCAATGATACATAAATATATAATTTGTAAACAATACATAAATATTGTATATTTATACACTTATATACAGGATATAAATATATTAAAAATATATAAAATATATAATTTTATATATATACAGGATATAAATATATAAATATATATATAAAATGCCTAAATATACAACCACATAAAAATAAAATAATCCATTTTATTTCACATGATAAACTTAAGGATATAATTTAATAAATTTAATAATAATTTCAGAAATTTAACCCCAATCTCCCCTTTAAATAATGAGTTGTTTAATTAACCAGTTAATGAGTTAATTGCCATTAATTTCCATTTGCTCTTTGTTAATTACCGAGGGTTCGGAGTCGCTCCGAGAGCTCCGACAGCTCCTTTTCCCGCTCCGAGTCCTGGGAAATCCTTCCCTGGATTTCCTGCAATTCCCGGGATACTGGAAAGGGAAAATTCCCAGTTTGGATCCAGCGGGGCCGGGATTGGGGATTTGGGGGGATTTTGGGGGGATTTTGGGGGGATTTGGGGGGATTTGGGGTCGTTACCGTTCAGGATCCGCCCCTGGAGAGTCTGGAATTGCCGCGCTGGGGGAGAAAAGGGAATTCTGGGAATTCCGGCAAATCCCAGGGAAGGGAACGGGGAAATCAGGGGGGAATAACGGGAAATTTGGGGGGGGAAAGGGAGAGAAGGGGAAAAGGAGGGATTTTGGGAATCAGGGAGGGATTTGGGGGTTCCAAGGAAGGATTTGGGGGCACCAGGGAGGGATTAGGGGGTTCCAAGGAAGGATTTGGGGGTTCCAGGAAGGATTTGGAGGCACCAGGGAAGGATTTGGGGGTTCCAGGGAGAGGATTTTGGTTCCATGGAAGGATTTGGGGATTTCAGGGAGGGATTTTGGGGCAGCAGGGAAGGATTTTGGGATGCCAGGGGGAGGATTTTGGGATTCCAGGGAGGGATTTTGGGGCACCAGGGAAG